AATCAGCATTAACCATGACCGTTCGCAAATAACATGGTTCCATCTAAATAATTTTTTTTCAGATTGGTCTTTCACTTTATCCAATCTTCACAGATATGCTACAGAGCAGCATACTAGTTGATGTATAAACATCATGTCTGAGTGAAGTTGAGAGATGGTAAATTGGGTAAATTGCTTCTTCTTTTTTTTTTAAAGGTCAGTTGTAAAATTAGTAATGTAATACCACTTTAGATAAGAAGATAAATTCTTAGTGAAATAAACATAGTTAAATTTAGTATTAAATACTTAAATTCATCTCTAGGAATACATTTAAAGCTTGGTAGACTAGGGAATTTTTTTCCCTTATATTTAACTGTCTGATATATTGTCCCTCCAGATGCTGCTTTATAGCTAAACTACTTGGGCAAGGAAAGGCATAGAAAATAACACACTATTGTTTGTTCTGTTAAGACTTTGGTTATACCTTAGAGGGTTAATTTTGCCTTATTTATTTATTTTGAGATCCTATATTATCTTCTATCTAGCCATTGCTATCATTAACTGGTATTTCTTAAGGCAAAAGGGGAATTGTAATAGAAGATAGTAGGTTGATAATTGGTAATTAATCTAGAGTAGCCAAACTAGTAGTACTGTAATATGAACACTTTGGTCATACTCTTTGTTTTGTTGAGTAAATCATTGTATACTTTATTGATCTAATGTAAACTTATGTGTTATGACTTTAATGTTGGTGCAGCAGTTGGAATATATCCTACAATTGATAATGAAAATTTTAGAGTTGTCAGGGCTCGGTGACAACCCTGACACAATGTTCATCTTTCACATTAAACATTTCTAACAAGAGACTTATGTCTACAGTATATAAGGAACTCTCACATATTGACATTAAAAACTCAGAATCAAAAGACTTGATATTTAAATAAAGAATACAATATCCAGTAAACACAGCACTTCACACCATTCAGAAAAGGCAAAAGTAAAAATCTAGCTCTCAGGAATTTTTGATAAAAAATACAAAATGGCAGCTATTGTTTAAAACTGATCTTTGCAATTTCTTACAAAGTTAATTGCACTCCATGATTCAAAAATTCCACTTCAAGGTATGTATATAAAAGAAATGAAAATATATGTCCATAAATCACTAATGTAAAAAAAAATCATTATGTAACTCCTGTGCTAGCTTTATTTCTACTATCCCACATCTTAGAACCTCACTGATGAGGATGGAATGATTATTCCCGCTGTTATTTTTTTATATTTAAATTTATCATATGATATTAAAAAGAAGGGAATTTGGGAGATGTATTGGTTGATATTGTCAACTTAACAGGATCTAGAATACCTAGGAAAGAGGCTGTCTAAATAGGTTAGATGAGATGAATCTTTGGACAGCACTATTCCAGGGGCTGGGATCCTCCAGTGGATAAAATAAAGGCAGTGAAATGTGACAGGCATTCATTGCTCTCTGCTTCCTGATTGTAGTTGTAATATGACCAGCTACCTCAAACTCCTGCTGCCATGCCCTCCCAGCCATGAGGGACTGGCTGGACCCCTGAACTAGGAGATATAATAAACTCTTTTTTCCTTAAGTTTGATTTGTGACAGCAACTAGAAAAGTAACAAGACAGGGGCTAATTAAGATGAGAACTCTGCCCTCAGTAATAGGATTAATGCCATTGCAGTTCAAACCTCAGAGGATTCTCTTGCTCTTTTTATTGTGAGAACATGGGGGTACAGATTGAACCCCTAAGTAGTTGCTTCTTCTAGGGGCTTCAGGTGTGTCAGTATCTTGACGTAAGTTGTCCAATAACCCACCTTGTCTATTATGTTTTTATTATAACACTTGGAACGAATTCTGAGACCTATACATCCACCATTAGCAGGAACAAATTAGTTTCAGCTTAGTATAGTGATAGAATACCACTCAGTAGTAAAAAAGCGCAAACTACTGATCGTATTTCCACATTATGGATGAATATTAGAAATACTTGATTGAAGATACCAGCTGCAAAGGATTATTTCCTATATTACTTTATATATATGAATATGGCAAGATCAGTGTGTGCCAATGGGCATATAAAGTGATTATTGAGAGAAGAGTAATAGGAATTGATTGAAGGTGCACAAGGCATCTTAATGAGTTATCAGATTATATTTTTTAAAGATTTATTTAATTATTTGTTTTATGTATAAGTGATCTATCTGCATGTAACAGATCTCAATATAGATGATTATGAGCCACCATGTGGTGTTGGGGATTGAATTCAGGATCTCTGGAGGAGCAGCTAATGAGTTTAACTTCTTAGCCATTTCTCCAGCTCTCACATTATATTTTTATGAACACGCTCTGAGTATAATTATAATTTTTTTCACATTTAATTGTGTGTAAATTTTATGTCAGTGTTACATGCAAAAATACATTAAAATAAATTCTACCTTGGGAGAGGAATGATTACAAACTTATGTCCTGATTATTTTGAAGGCTCTATATAGAGCATTTAAATGGAACCTAAGAGAACCTGTACTGCAGGTAAATCTCTGCTGCTTTTTGTTCTTAAGGTATAAATGGAAATTTTTATGTCATAACTTCAAATATTATAGTCTGTTAGGAGAAACAGCCAATTCTAGTAGAGAGATCATGGGTTTGAGTTATGTACAGTATCATTAAAGTGTTGGAGTTTAATTGGCAGTTATTTTTGTTTCTCTTACTGGTATCCTAGTCCTTAGTGCCCCTTAGATTTGATCAGTAAGATGAACAGTTGGCATATTAATCTTTTCAGTGAACTTCAGAAGTGGTTGTAAGGCTTATCCTTATGTTGCCAACTGACCAAAGGCTGACCGCATTTTGAAAGAGAGCTGCTTCTTATTGTTAACAGAGGAACTCTGCTGTTCTTAAAATAGAAAATACCTTGACTCAAGCAGGCATTAAAACACTAGAACATGGGGGAAAAAAAATCAGTTATTTTTAAAACTCTGAATCATATGAGTTGAACATTAGTAAAACTGAACCAGCTAGTGTGGAAACTAATAAGTTGAAGTAGGTTTGTCATAATTTTTATTAATTGGGTAATATCATTTGCTTTTATTTATACTTCATTATTGAAGTACTTTATAACGTTTCAGAATCAAAAAAAATATGGTATTCGAAAAATTTAACCTCAGCTAGGTATAAACTGAGACAAAGGAAACCAATCTAGTTTTGGTGGTAAGAGCTCTGTTTTGTGTGTCTTTTGCATTAGTTGAAGAGCGCAGAGATCCAAGTGTGTGTGTGTGTATGTACTAATAGTTAATGTTTTCCATTTGCATGTGCAGGTTTACTAATTACCTTCGTTAATTCATTTTGATTTACAAATGTTTCCGATATTACATACAATATTTTAAAATATAATGTTTTATTCAAAGTGTTGTTATTTGACATTTTTTATATAAGCTTGGTTAATTAAAACAAGCAAAAATTATTACAGGAGCAAATTATTAGCAGATAGAAAATAAATATGAAATCAGTCCATCTCAGATAGTTCTGTACTGTTGTTATTATTAAGCACTAAAATCTTTCATTTCCACAAAATTAGCATTACTTTATGAAAAATTTCAAAGAACCCTTCCCAAGTAAGTATAGACTTCTGTATTTCAATCCTAACACTAGCCCAGCCCTTAGCCTCTTTTTCATCTTCCTACCCTTGGGAAGCACATACTCGGCAAGTGCAGTGATTGTATTTTCTGATTTCTTTGGAGGGGCTAAGCCATGACTAATGGACACTGTGTTTGGATTATATTTATTTTAAAAATTAGAGTGTTTATAAATGCTTAAGTATTAGCTATTTTCTTCAGTTCTCTGAAAGAATATTTGACAAACAGCTTTGGTCCCTTTTGTCTCACAGTTGGAGGTATACTCTGTCATGGTAGAAAGCACTGGCAGCAGGAGAGAGACAGGTTGTCACACTGCATTTGATTCAGGAAGCAGAGAGAAGTGCATGCCCATGTTATGTTAGTTTCCTTTTATTCAGCACATGTCCTTACATTTGGAATAGTGTTGTATAGTCCAGGTGGATTTTCCTTCTTCAATTCAACCTTTCTGAATTCCCCTCAGAGATACATCCAAAGGAGTGTTTTCATACCATTCTAAATTGAGTCAAGTTGACAGTTAAAATGCCCACCATTATATCTTATAAAACATAACCAGGTTCTAGGATGGTAGTATCTCTTCAGAACGTTAAGTTATTTCATAGTACATCTTCTGTGGGAGAGGATGCAATAGAAACACATGGAGTTTATTAATACTGCTGTATGATAGTATTAAGGTGTTCTTAGAACAGACTATTGTATATGCTGATTTTCCTACTTGAGAATCTTAAAAACACAGAAGTTTAATATCACTTTTCTAATTTTCCTTTAATATCACTTTTCTAATTTTCCTGAAATATAAAAAGTGTAGAAGTTTTCTTTTTAAAGTGTCTTGTGAAATTTGGGATAAGTTGAATCTTTCAGTGTATAATCTATCTAGCCACAAAAGCATCTTCCTTTTAAATGGCCTTTTGATTTACCATCATGCTTTCCTATAATTAATAGCATTTGAGAAATCAAATTAATGTTACAACTACTGAGTGCTCATTAGTGAATATAAATTATTTATACATGTACATTGGGCACCCATGAAACACTAGTTCTTTTTGGTATAGAAATTAAAAACCATCTGGCAGTGGTGGTGGCACATGCCTCTAATTCCAGCACTCAGGAGGCAGAGGTAAACGGATCTCTATGAGTTTGAGGCCAGCCTTCTTCACACTGCTAGTTCTAGGATAGGCAAGGCTACACAGAAACCCCGTTTCAAACCCCAAATCAAAGCAAAACAAAAAGGGAAGACCCATACTAGTACTCCAACTCTTTAGATCTACAAAAAGGCAAACATTTTAGCTTAAGATAATAACATTTCAGAACTATTTGAAAATATATTTTCCTTGTTTCATCATATTGTGTACTTTTTCTCTACTTTTTCAAAGGTTTGTCCCATCAGATGAAAAGAAGAAACAAGGTTGTCAACGAGAAAATGAAACACTAATACAGAGAAGAAAAGATCAGATGCAACCAGGGGGCACAGCAATTAGTGTCACGGTACCTTATAGAGTAGTAGACCAGCCCCTGAAACTTATGCCTCAAGACTGGTAAGAAGAGCCTCCCTCCCTTCCCCCATTCTCCATGCATTAATGTTTTGTTTGCATCTAAAAGGTTTTCCTTTTGAAATATTTATTTTGTGTCTATGGGTATGCTATGGTGTGATTGTAGGGATCAGAGGACAACTTGTAGGAGTTGTTTTTTCTCTTTCTACCATGTGTGTCCTGGATCAAGCTAAGGTTGTCAGGTTTGGTAGCAAGCACGTTTACTTGCTGAGCTATCTTGCTTTCTCATTTTGAAAATGATATAAACAAGTATACTTTATAGAATATTCTTGGAAAACTTATCCATATGTGAAGATCTATGCCAATAATGCTGTCATTTCTAGAAGAATCTTACTCTCACATTATAATATGTCGGAAGTTAACATTTAATTTATTTGTGTGCTTACTTTTGAAGATGCTTTTGAAAGTTTGGGGCTATATTTTTGTTTATGATTTAATTTCAGCCTCAAACTTTGAGAAGAGTATGAATTTTAAAGTTGCTGTTTTTCTTGGTAACTTCCCTGGTTGTCATTGTGTGTGGGATATGTGCGTGTGGGCGCGTGTTTCTTTTGAAGCATGGCCTCACTCTCGTGTGGGCTTGAACTCACAGTCGTCCTTTTGCTTCAGCCTCTTGAAAACTGGTTATTGGCATTAATTCCATGCCTGACTTAGTCTAGGTCTTGAACAGAGTAACTGTTTTGTTAGATGTATAGAATTTTTTATCTAAAGCAGTGATTGTTAATGTGTGCTATGAAGATCCCTGGGCATTCTGAAGTCCTTTTAAAGGGCAGCCTTTTTCTGTAGTACCTCTCAGGTGATTATTTATTCTCTTCTTGATATATCAGTCCTTAAATAGAACTTTTCTATCCAGTGCCCAAGATGAATCATTATTTTCCTTCCTTCTTCTTTCCCTTTCCATCCTTTTTTCTCTCTGCCTTCTGTTTAGTGAACTGTTCTTTAACCTAGCCATTTATTTGCCTCCTCATCTGAAAATAGGGTACAGTAGTATTCACCTCACTAGAGTGTTTTGAAGATGAAATGTGTTAACATGATTAATTTATAATATGGTTAAACAACATTGTCTCTAGTAAATACTTTAGTCAATGTTACTAATGGTAAGTAACTATCGTTATTTTGTTTCTGACTCTTGTATGCTTAAACTGCTCATGGCAGTACTTTATAAAAGTTTTAACTAAATATTGTCCAAAATAATGAAATATGAGGACCTAGAGATTTGTTGTTCCTTGGAAAACTAGTCTGCATAGCTGGAAAAAAAAATGAGTTGCTTTAAAAACCAAACTAACATTTAGTGTAAATAAAATAGTTGTCTAAAACATGGTAAATTAGAAAAGTTGAGGTGTTCTTATACTCAGATTTCTTCCTAAGGGATTAGAAGATTTAAAAATAAGTCTTGTAGTTTCATAAAATGACTGGAAAATTACTGTAATTCAGCATTTTAATTAAGTTTAAATATTTAATATGTATTTGAATTTCCAGTAACTTCCTTTTAAACCAGTTTGTTCAATTAATAAATCAGCTACTGATCCTTATTCCAGTCTGCAAGCAGACTTTTTACTCGAGGTAAGAAAAAAGGATTACAGAGGTGACCTATAACCATTGTTTGGAACCATCCCCAGAAGACTTAGGTTTATTGTTTGTCTCAGCAAGAAGACTGCTGGGAAGACCTTCATAATTATGAGACTCCTTTTTAAGGATTTGAAGTAGTTATAGCTCAAGTTTGAGGTATTCTCCTCTCTACCACTTCCTTTTTTTCTGCTTGTAGGGATCGGGTTGTAGCTGTTTTTGTTCAAGGTCCTGCTTGGCAGTTCAAAGGTTGGCCATGGCTTCTACCCGATGGATCACCAGTTGACATATTTGCTAAAAGTAAGATTCTCGCTCCTTATGCTTACTGTGTATTCAGTATAGAATTAGTTTTTAAGAGAAAGAACCACATGTAAGTCACTCTGTATATGAATGTATTAAATAATTATCATTAAGTAACATACATACTAACCATTAGCAACCTGTGAGATATTTTTAAAGCCTTTTGTGCATTAATATTTTCTATGTGGTTATATATATATATATATAAAACCACATAGAATATATATATGCGTGTTACCTATGTGTTACATTGCTAAATATTTTAGGTTACTTACATTATAAATCTTTCAATATGCCTATATATAGTTATTAAGATTGATAACTAGCTTTATATAATATACATTGTATAGAGTAATGAATTTCACTTATTTCTGATACCTGCATATATCAAGCTGTAACTAAGTTTTTATATAGGTTGACTTGCTGAATATCAGCACTAACTTAAAGCGTCAAGGACATTTCTCAGCCCATCTGGGATGGTTATTGTGTGACTGGCCTTTCTTCGTTCAGTTCTCTCAGCTCAAGGGTTCCTTCTCTGGAGAAGCCTTACTAGTGCTTGTTTCCTGGCAACTTATAATTTTTATATTTTTATTGGTGTCTTCCCTGGCAAGAATGCAAATACCACAGTAGGAACTTTTTTCTGCTTTCTGTTTCATTCACCTTTCTGTTCATAACAAAAGAATGCCAGATCCTACATATGAATTATTTCATATAGATGAAATCTGTTGAACATACATTGATGTAAATTGATGCAGTAGATTATTTTAGTGTATTAGGTGGAAAGAATAGTCCAACTATTACTTAATTGGTGGGCTCAATTAAACTATTAATGTTAGTAAAATTAATTAAAAATTATTCTCATGAGATAGACAATCAGTGACAACTTATTGTGAATATGAATTATACTATTATACAGTCCAGATATTTTAACAGCCCATTTTTGTTGGTAACATCATTCTGTCCTAAAATTACAGTTTTAATAATTTGTTTTTATTTTACCTTAATCTGATCTTAACGATAAATTACAACATTGCTGTTAGGATGATAGTTTTTTATGTCATTTCTGAGGAATGCATAGAATTGGCACATAGAAAGTTAAATATGGAGAGAATTGAAATGTGTTAATGAACGCAATACTTGTTTTATTTTAGTTATTTATTTTAAATCTTGCCTTGTTGGCTATAGAAATGATTTGGTTACCTTCAAGATAAAAAGACTCTGAGTTTTATTAGGAATATAATATGTTTATTTTGATTATTGAGATTTTTGTTCTTCCAAGGTAGATAAGGATGTTGAGAATTTAGCAATAATCAGTAATTTTATTCCACATATTATTCTTTCTCTTCCTTGTTGCTTTCATGCTAGCTCCTTTCCGGCAGTGGTTGGCAATGTTTGCCTTCCATATTTAAATGACTCACAAGACCAAACCATGAACTTGATCTCAAACCTTCCTTTTTGTAACTACTATGAAACAATTACTCCCACAAACTTGTGCTTAGTTCTTAAGCCACTGTAGCTTGGCTCTTTCACGAAAATTGTTTTTTTACACCTCCCAGTATTAGATAGTTTTGATTTTCTTTCAGAATTTTACTGTGTTGACTCATTTCTTACTTTTAAAAATGCTTGTTTTTGAGTCCTGGGCTTTGTTTGATTTCAAGGGTTTTTTTTTTTTTTGTTACATTTTAAGTTATTGTTTCTCTTTAAATTCTGAATACCCTCTTAAGGAAATCTTACATTTTTGATTTCTTGTTTTGTTTTGTTTTTTTGAGATCTGTCTGTCCTGGAACTCATTCTGTAGATCAGGTTGACTTCAAACTCATGTAGATCCACCTGCCTCTGCCTACCAAGTGCTGGGACTAAAGGCGTGTACCACAATGCCTGGCTCACATTTCTAGTTTTTTATTTTCCTACTTTATAAAAATTATGTCTCTTCTTTCACCATTGTGGGACTGTCTGTTTCAAGTGACACCAATGAATTGACTTACTCTCTTCACCCTTTTTCTGTGATTTGTCTAAACCAGAAGCTTAGGACTGTATTGTCTTTTAACTCTTAGTGCTTGTCCTAGTTTCATTATTGTTCCTATAATAAAGTAGCTTGACAAAAAGTGGCTTAGGGGAAAATGTGTTATGTCAGCTTATACTTTCAGGTTACAGTTCATCATTGTGGGGCGTTTAAGGAAGAACCCTTATTTATTTAGCTAGCCATAATCACATCCATAGTCAAGAGCAGAGAAAAATGAACATATTTATGCTTGCTTGCTTACTGGTGCTCACCACAGATTTCTCTACTCTTACACAAGCTGTGTCCCAGGGAATGAATGGTGCTGCCCATAGTGGGCTGGTTTTTTCTACATCAGTTAGTAAATGACAGTCTGCCAATGAAATGCTTACAGACCAACACAGTGTAGAAAATCCCTCAGTAAGAGTCTCTTCTGACGTAATTCTAATTTGTTTCAAGTTGGTAAATTAACAATCACAGTGCTTTTTTCAGCTTTTACAGTCCCACCTTTTTCCACATCATAATGCACAATAGAGAATTTAATTACTTATATTAATTAAGAGAAACTTGGGAGTCTAGCTTAATATTGCATAATTATGATGACAATTAAATTTAGCAAAGATATTAGATGCTGAATTATATAGTTTCCAAATAAAATTCTCTCAAAAATATAATAAATTTAAATTCGCAACTTTAAATTTTAATGTTTGAGTAGCTGAGTAGTTATATACATTTATCAAGGAAAATTGTTCCCCCAACTATTCTAAGGCAAGCGTTGTATCCTCAGCTCTCAAAATTTTAAATATTTATTTTACTTTTCTTATGTATATTTGTGTTTTGCCTTCATTTATGTATGTGCACCTTCTATCCATGGAATCCAGGTTATTGAATTCCTGGCAGCTAGAGTTTACAGGTGTTTATGAGCTGCTAAGTGGGTACTAGGAATAGAACCCAGGTCCTCTGGAAGAACTGCCAGTGTACTTAACCACCATGACATTTCTCTGCCCCATTTCTCAAAGATTTTTTAATGATAGTTTCATCAAATTCTTGTTGATTACTATTAAATTTTTCAATTCTCTACAATATCTTCCCTTCATCATGGTATGCCATTAGTGTTTCTGTTTTTCAAAAGGATACTTTTTTTTCCTGCTGAAAATTTTTGCAAAGTTTATGAATTTTGCTTAAAGATGTGTGTTATTCTGAGGCATATGATTTTGTTTTGCATTGTATCACAAATTTTATTTGTTTTTACTTGAAGAAACTTAGAAAACTGTGGTTTTCCTGAGTCACAGATAAATGTTATGGCAGTATATTAACGTGTTTACATTGTCTTATTTGTCTTTGCAATAAAAATATTTTGTCTGTTTCAGGACAGCTAGGGCTACACAAAGAAATTCTTCCCCCAAAATAAATAAATAATTTGGGGGGAGGGGCTCAAACTAGACTACCAACTTTAAAAAGTCTAGATCAAAAGTAAATAGCAGTAAAAATTATTAAAGAAATTATAGGCTTTAATGATTCAGATGAATCATTTAAATTAAATGTAACTTTTAGTATGTATTTAGTGGAGATGTATGTGTGTGTTAGGTGAGTATATACATATGTATGTGTGAAAGTATTTGTAGGTGAAGGTCAGGTTAGCATCAGATATTTTACTCATTACACTTGTTAGTTCTGTATGTGTGTCAGAAAGAATGAGAATGAATATATTTAGTATGTATGTGGTATGCAAAGACAATAATTTTGTGTGTATGTGTTTGTGTTCATTCCCACAGAGGCTGTGATTCATATCATGAAGTCAGCTTACCCTAGAGTATAGAGAGAAAGTTCTCTCCTTCCACTGAAGGTTTTGGTGATCAAACTCAGTTGTCAGGCTTATTTAACAAGTGCGTCTTATCTGCTGAGCCATCATGCCAGCCCCAATTTATGTTTTGAGACAGGTTTCTCATTGAACCAACTTTTAGTTCATCGTCTTGGCTAGTCTGGCTAGCCATTGCGCTTCAGGGATTTGCCTTTCTCCTCAGTCTTTGGGGATATAGTCACAAAGTATCAGGCCCGAATTTTTTTTTTTTTAATTGAAAAAAATTTCCGCCTCCTCTCCACCTCCCATTTCCCTCTCCCCCCCCCCCCCTTCTCCCACTCCTTTCCTTCTCCCTCTCCAGTCCTAAGAGCAGTCAGAGTTCCCTGCCCTGTGGGAAGTCCAAGGTCCTCCTTCCCCCCTCCATCCAGGTCTAGTAAGGTGAGCATCCAAACAGACTAGGCTCCCACAAAGCCAGTTCATGCAGTAGGATCAAAACCCAGTGCCATTGTTCTTGGCTTCTCAGTGAGCCCTCCTTGTCTGCCACATTCAGAGAGTCCGGTTTGATCACATGCTCCATCATTCCCAGTCCGGCTGGCCTTGGTGAGCCCAATAGATCAGCCCCACTGTCTCAATGGGTGGGTGCACCCCTCGCCGTCCTGACTTCCTTGCTCATGTTCTCCCTCCTTCTCCTCATTTGGACCTTGGGAGCTCAGTCCGGTGCTCCAATGTGGGTCTCTGTCTCTATCTCCGTCCATCACCAGATGAAGGTTCTATGGTGATATGCAACATATTCATCAGTATGGCTATAGAATAATCAGGCCCGAATTTTTATGTCACATGAGAGATACTATCTCAGGTACTTTTAAGCTCATATGGCAGTCAGTTTACTGACTGAGCCATTATTATAGCCCCTTTAAATGTAGTTTAAGCAGCAATTTTTAATGTAAAAGTTAGCATTAGAAAAACAATTGATGTAATAAGCAGAATGAAAAGTATTTAGAAATGTTAATTTACATTTAATGCAATAATTTTATAATTTTGTTTGTTTGGTTTTTGAGACAGGGTTTTTTTGTGTACTCGTGGCTGTACTGGAACTTGCTCTGTAGATCAGGCCTACCTTGAACTCAGAGATTCGCTTGCCTTTGCCTCCAGCTATAATTTCATAAACTTAAAAATAATCAAAAATTGTTTTTTACATAATATATTTTGAAATGGATTTTTTCTTTTGTTTGTTTTCAGGACAGGGTTTCTTTGTGTAACACCTCTGACTGTCTTGGAACTCTTTTTGTAGACCAGGCTGGCCTCAAACTCACAGAGATTTACCTGCCTCTACTTCCCAAGTGCTCAGATTAAAGGTGTATGCGTCACCACGACCCTGCTGATAGTGGGTCTTTTCAAGTCTGTAACACAGAATCCCTTAGTGAATTGTTTTAATTAAGTGTGCTTTTAGTAAAGTTTATTTTTAAGGTTAATAGTTTTTAAGTAATTTTTTTATTATATCTTCCATTTATTCATTTTTACTTTCTTTGAAGACTTGAATCTTGATTAGTTATTAATGTCACAAGCCAGTGTGTTAGGTAGACATAGTGTAAGTATAGTATTTTGAGAAGCTGAGCTGGGAAGATGGCTATCATTTGAGGTCAAACTGAACTACATAAATGAGATCCTGTCTCAAGAAAACCAAAAACACCAATATGCAATGAAACAAACAGTCCACAGGTTACAGTCATAAAAATTTTTACAGTCACTTGTTTTCTCTTTAGGAAACCCTCATACCAGGTAATTATGGTGATAATAACAGTTATGCAACTAGGGAAAAACCCCACAAAGTCTAAGGGAAATAGCATTTTACATATGTGTTTGCAGAGCAAAGCTCCATTCATCATACACGGAGTGTACATCTAGAAATAAACCCGTTATGATGCCCCAAGTGTTCTTCAGAGTATAGGAAAGGAAGATAATTTTTTTCATCTGCATTAGTTCTTCAGTTATCTTTTAAGATTGAAAATCATACCATTTCGTTTTCTTTAACTTTTGTAATATTTAACACATTTGGAATAAAATTCAGATACGTTTCATCCAGACCATTGCCTACCCAACACAAATTAGTTTTTTCTAAGGCATTCTAGGTATGCTTCCATGTGAGGACCTCTGGAAACATTTCTGTTTTATTTTTCAGTCTGAAATCCTATTCTATTATACTGCCTTTGCAGCACATAGTTTTTACTTCCTGCTCGTAGTTGACTCCTCAAGAATTCCTCCCTATGTGCCTCGTCCACAGTAATGCCTCATTTTTCTCAGTGCCATTTGAATATTGAATATTTATCTGGTTACTGGCTACTAGAAGTCTGTGGAGATGGACAGTTTACTTTGATCACTGTTGGACTCTTCCTGCATAGAGTAGTTCACCTTTGTATGTAAGCACTCTACAGGGTTTTCTTTTTCTCTCCTAGCTTTTGTTTTATAAACCAAATTGTATTAGTTTGGTGGGGAAGGATAGAAGTTGGGTTTTGTGTGTGTGTGTGCATTTTTCTTAGGAGTCCATTATTGAGAGACATCAGGACAGAAACTGAGCTGGCCTAAAGGCAGGAGGGAACCAGGGAGGAAAGCTTTGTGGCTTGCTTAGCCTGCCCAGAAATAGCACTGCTCACACTAGGCTGGGTCCTCCCACAATAGTCATTAATCAGGAAAATGCTCCAACAGACTTGGCTCTAGGCCACTTTGATGGATTTTTCTCAGTTACCTGAGCTTGTGTCCTGTTGACAAAAATCTACCAGATTCACTCCCATAGTAATCTAATCTCTCAGGTATTTGTTATTCTAGCTATGTTTCTTCTACTCAACTGAGGAACTCCTTTTCTTTATCTAACAAATATTTTGTAATTATTTTTTTATATCATTCACTGATAGGGCCTTCTAAGGCCGGTATCACTCTTTGTATTTTACTCCTAAAACTAAATCATTGTTTCTTTGAGCATTCTCTTAATACCGTGTCACTTTATCCATTGCTTGCTTGTTTTTTCTCTAAGTTTTAAGTTAAACTTAAAATCTGTAAACCATTTCTGAATTTATGTCTTGTGAGAAGGTATCCTTTTATGTCTCTATGATATTATGCTCCCTTACTGTATTGTATTTGATTTATCTTTTTCTTACTATCCTTCACTGAATCATTAATTTTTATCTTACCTTATTTGGTATTTCAATCTCCAATAGCTAACTTGTGTTGACTTTAAGTATCTCTGATGGTAAAATAGTGCTTAACAGCTGTTTCACAGATCACTGGTAATCATGTTAATGTAGCTTCAGTTTGGTAATAGAAAGATTTAAATTTTGTTTGTTTCAGTACTTGTTTTTCTATTACTTTCTTTCCAGAAAGTGTTTTCATAATTTTGGCTACAGTTTTAATAAGAATGCTATTTTTTATTCCCTGTTCCCCATGTAGTTAAAGCCTTCCACCTCAAGTATGATGAAGTTCGTCTAGATCCAAATGTTCAAAAATGGGATGTAACAGTATTAGAACTCAGCTATCATAAGCGTCATTTGGATCGACCAGTTTTCTTACGTTTCTGGGAAACATTGGATAGGTAATTGTGATCCTAAAATATATTCATACGTGCTTTATTTTAGTGATTTTTATCAGAATTTTAAAATCTTTAAAGTTATAAGCTATAGTGTGTAATCCGTTGCTTTGAATATAGTCTGATTTGACCAACATAATAATTGATGATTGACAAATGCTTTGATTTATTGACTTGATATGTAAATGTAGAGTTTAGAGTCTGTTAGAAGGCATATTAAACTGTGTGAGAAGTCAGATTTTGTGATCTTGCTGCCATGAATTGTGTAACCTTCTGAACTGCATTTTCTTTAAAATAATTTTTTTTTTTTTACAATTTTACATACCTATCCCAGTTCCCACTCCCTCCCCTCCTTCCACTTCCCCCACCTACTCCCTGCCCTACCTCCCACCCACACCTCAGAAGCCTGAATTTCATTTTCTGTCTGCTTAGGGAGCCTGGTGTCAGGTGACGCCTGGGCTTTACCCCTGAAAGGTTGAATTTAATTCTTACATTTATTTGAATTACTAGGATAGAACTGTTAAGTCCTTTAACATAACAACTGTTCTGAAACTTACAGACATAAGAACAGTGAATTATCATAATACTGTAGACTCAGCTGCTATTGTGTTCCCTGAAAACTATTTCTTGTTTGGTGTCTCTCATTGGATTGTGTCAGTTTTCTCAAAGTCATTACTATAACTGGTAGTAAGACAAATATACTTCCAATAAGCTCTTAGGTTATAGAATTTAATTAGAAAATGTTTTGTTTTTTGCTTACTATTTTTCAGAAATTCCAGAATCTAGTTTCCAGCTGCTTAGTAAAAACAGTATTTTGCCCTTAGTGATTTTAAATTTATAAAGAAGTCACCCCTTTTTACATGTATTCTTAAAATTTCAAAATTTGTATTGTCATTACAACCCATTATTATATTTTTGTATCACCATCATAACCTATTATTCTTTTTTTTTCTCCAGATACATGGTAAAGCATAAAGCCCACTTGAGATTCTGAATCATTTGATTCCTTCTTTTCTGAAAACTTGGTTTAAGAAGCATGGATATAGCTTGATCTACAGACTGAAACCCAAGCTTTATGAATTCATCAAGAACTTGCAAATGAAGAAGGCCACAGAGCAGTCTTTTATGAGACCTTGTTTGATGCTATGTGCTTCAAAGGGCATTTCCTCCCATCCATACAAGCAAACTTTTTTGGCTTACAACTATTTTTTTAATATTAGCCTTCTAGTCTGTAATGGAAATTGTATATTTTGATAGAAGCTTTTTCTCTATTGGTTAAATTAGCATTACTTAAAATTTGTTTCTTTAGAAATAAATGCAGGTTATAAATGTGTGTATATTTAGAAGTTATTAGGCTCTCTAAGCCATCTTGCTTCTGATTTTTCATTGCTCTATGATTCCTTTTACTGGAAAATAATCTTATGAATGGTTTTAAATTTTAGAGTCTAGAACTTCAAAACCCCACCAAAGGGAAGTAATTATTAAATCAGTTGAAAGTCAGCCTGTGTCTATACTATGTCTATACTAACTCATGTTTAAAAAGGAATAATGAAAAATCAAGAACAAGTCTTCAGTTTCTTTTGAACTCAGCCTTTTCAAGATTTCTTTTGTAAATGAATACATTTAATGAATGTACATTCTCTTTGTTGACTTTGATGATTTTAAATTTAAAGTGATATATTTCTATCTGGGATATGTTTCCACTTGAAAAGAAATCTCAAAAAAAAAAACAAAACAAAGATTAAAGTGTAAAAAGCTGTAGTGACTTTTACTTGGGAAACTAAAGTATGATTTGGGGGACTGAGTACGTATCAACCTAGTTACAGTGTAACTTGAACTTCTAAGTTTGATTCTTATATGCTATAGGATTTTTGAGTCTTCTATTTGTACACATGTCAACTTGGGACTTCTTCCATTATCTCTAAATATTGATAAATTCCCAGGCACCAAAGAACACATTTGCTTACGTGTCTGAACAGAAACAAGATAAAAAAAAAACAACACTGGTATTTTTATGTGTGTTCAATGTGGTATAAAATATAAAACCTATATTTTAACTTAGTAAAGTATTTTACTATTTCTCTACTTTAGACAGAGTGTTGCATCTAAGCTGCAATGAATAACCATGCTCCTTAGTCCTGGTTTATCTTTTACTATTTAAAAGGAGTGTTTATTCATTGAAACCGAGTTTTTGTCATTAGAGCTGTTGACCATCCCATCTTGTGTCTTGTTTTCCTCAGTGGCTATCTTTAGGTTATCAAATTGGGGGATGTGGGGAGAACAGTAAGACATTTAGCTTTTTCTTTCATTCTTGTGAGGATACTTAGCCTCTTTAGAATTTAATGCTATCATAAAGATGAGAAACAAGTATTATTTATTTTATTAACTTACTATAAAAACCCATTATCAGTAAAAACAGAAAAGATATTTATTCAGGTGGAATTCAGTGGGCTTTCCAGAAGAGAAGCAGCTAATGTTTTAAATGACTTTAATACATTTTTAGTGTTAGTAGGTTTTCCCTACAATTTCCCATTCTCCTGCATCCTCTTCTTTCTGGTAAAAGAAAACTCACTTTATTCACAGAATTTCTCAGCATATAAATCTATTCTTAAATTATGTATTGAATAAACTTTTATCCACAATAAAATAGTCAGTGAGTCAAACCTGTAATACTTTAATGTAAATTACTTGTTAAGACTACTGCAAAGTGGACATGAACTACTTACTACCTTTCCATAAAGAGATTTGGTATTTATTCTTACTATCTGAAATTTACTTGATAACAGAATATGATTAAAATTGATATCTACGTTGAACATGGTTTATTTTTCTATTTTAAATTTGCTTTGTGTATAGTCAAAGGTTTCTGGGTATACTCTGTAACTTAGTAAACCTGGGACTATGCTTTTCATGTATCTTGAAATCAGATCCTTTTTGTGCACTGGGAATTTTTTTTTGTCGTTTTATTTTTTAAGATTTAAAAAAAATTCAAGGTGGCAGCTTAATGAGTTCCATGATAGCATTCCGGTTGTACATGCCATTTTACTTGTTCTCTTCTCACCCACCGCTGTCCTCCCCAGCCCTCTTGCCTCCAGTTCCCTGTTTGCTTTCCTATTACATATATTCTTTCTTTCTCATTTTTCCTTACCCTTCCCTAAGAACTCTTCTTCCTTCTGTATCATAGTCTCCTTTCTTTCATTACCTACACATAAACATGCATATACATTTTAGATGTTTTTAATCTGAACATTTTCGTTCCCTAAGTAAGTTTATGAAATTTTATAGTGATTAATTATAAAAATAAAGGGGAAAAGTAAATTATAAAGATCCACTATGCTCAGCCAATCGTTCATTTTTCTCCTGTGACTCAGTTCTACAGCAGCACCTAACACAGTGCCTTGCACATGTAGGCATTCAGTAGTTATTTCTGTGTGTAAATGGATGATGTGTTTTCAACATAAGTGATTCAGTCCATAAAAATAGTTTTGACCTTATTTGATCTTAGAATTTAAGAATAAAGAATTGTAAGCAGTGAGAAGAAATGAATAGTTTCAAGAAAATGAGTATACATTAATAAGTTTAGTTTATCTGTAAGTTGCTAACTGAGGTACTTTTGCCAGCCTTACTTGTAAAAGGAAGGTTCTCTGTTATTTGGAGTCTTGGTGCTAAGTAACAGTAAGAAAAAAAAAAGTCATTTTTAATCAGAAGCTCATCATTTAAGGAGATTTGAAAAATACATCTGAATCCTTACTCTTTTTTTTCTGGGATAAACTCAATTGTCACTAATTTTTAAAAGTTTTCCAGATAAGTGTGAAGTGTGTGTGTGTGTGTGTGTGTGTGTGTGTGTGTGTGTGAGAGAGAGAGAGAGAGAGAGAGAGAGAGAGAGAGGAGTGAGATTCACCCACTTAAAGTGTTATTGGAAGTAATACCAGTATTAAATGTTGTGTTTCCCCCCTCCTTTTTTCTCTTCATCTGTGTATGTTTTGAGTGTATATGTATGTATGTTTTGAGGCCACTCTTTGCACTAGACCATCTCTCATTAGTATTTTGGCCTATATCCCCAAATGACAAATTCAAATCTTATTTATTTAATATACAAGGAGTATTTTGCTGTTTAATATTTAAACATTTAATATATTTCATTATTAATTAGTATAATTTGTGGTTTGTTTCCTGTTTGCTTATTACTTGACTATTCTTTAGCAGCAGCAGAACAGCAGTTTATACAGGAAGAACTAATTCATGATGAGGAAAATCTCAAATATTTAAGTTCAAAGAACTATTCACTTCTTTGCTATGCAGAGTAAGATATAATTCAATTATGAAAAGAAAGGCATAGTTTGAGTTAGTCTACACAAAAAGGTTCTCACCTAAATGAAAATCCACTATCTAATAAATATTGAAGAAACATTTCCTAAATAAAAATGCCTGTGACTTCTTAACGCAAAGCGATGACAGTGTTCTTTGTTTGTTCGTTTGTTTTGGGAAGGGATTATTTATTGCACTGATGAGCTATGCAAAATTATTTGACATTTTAAAGTTTTTTTTTTTACAAAATTATAAATACAGTAGTTACTAAAGCTGGTTAGAATCATTTAGAAAGTGGCTTTAATCTTTGTGGGTTTTTGTTTGTTTTGTTGTTTGTTTGTTTGTTGTCTTAAGAAGCCCAGAACCATGTGCATTTTAGGCAAGCACTTCTCCCAGTGAGTTAGTTACACTCCAAAACATAGATTGTGAAATTGTTTAAATGCAAAATTATAGTTAAACTAGAGAAAATTTATTTTTAATCCCCCACTCCAGGGAAATTTTTTGAAGCATGTGTGTGAATGCACATACATGCATACACACACAAGTCAAAAGATTTATTATTCTGTCTAACTTAAATTCATATAGAATGTTGAGAAAATTATTAGATAAAATCTATAGAAGTTTCTTTTTAACTGAAAAGCTGGTGCCTGCTGTTTTTCCAGTAAATGAAGTTTAAATTTAATTGTGTTCACTTTGAAATTACTGGACTGAATTTCCATTATCCACTTTCATATGATGATTTTTATCATTTATAATGGAGAATTGATTAACCTTGACTTAGACAATTTGATTAGGGACTTTAAAGTAGGTCCTAAATTTTTTGATGTATTCCTGGCCATGTTTAGAAGTATGTATTGTCCCTACCGTAGTTTCTGCGCTAACATGTTGGCAGAACAACTAAGGAAAAATTGAAAATGTACAAATGAATGTATAAAGAATTCCTTTTAGTAAGTATAGGTTAATAATGCTTTCAGGCCATTGATGTGTTTGGTATTGTGTGTATTTTAGGAACTGTTCATAAGGCTATCTTGGAAGTTATAAATTGCCATATACTGAAACGCAGTAAGCATTTTTATATGAATAAAGTTTGTGAACTACAACCAGATTTGTGCCAAAATTTAAAGGTTGGATTACAGTATGTCAAAAGTAAGCTAATAATCGTTTCAAGTATTTTGTGTGCTGTTGCATTTTGTTTCTATTTTAAATGTAAGTAAAGCTACTCAACCTCCAACCCCAGTTATAGTTCTTGATAGGTGACTTAGTCCCTTTTATGGTAATGGCCTCTGTCACTGGTTGCTTAATCATCAACTAGTGTTGTTTGTGAAGCAAAGTAACTCCTGAATAGAGCTTCATTTGAGGTCTCCATTACCTGGTGAAATATTCTCATTTTCATTCCATTTTTCTTAGCTTTAAATTGTGGACTTTATTTTACACGAAACATTTTGCTGTTAAAAATCTTGGAGATAGCCAGGTGGTGGTGGTGCATGCCTTTAATCCCAGTTCTTGGGAAGCAGACGGCAGGTAACAGGTCTCTGTGAGTTAGAGACCAGACTGGTGGTCTACAGGAGCAAGTTCCAGGACAGGCTTCAAAGCTATATATAGAAACCCTATCTCCACTCCCCCCTCACCCCCCACCAAAAAAAAAAAAAGATCTTGGGTATATCCACCTTCCCTTAATTCCCCCAAAAGGCCCTGAACAAAACACAACAAACGAAATGTGAATGTATGTGTGTGTGTTTATACATATGTACATGCGCGCGCGCACACACACACACACACACACACACACGTGTGTGTTTGTGTATATACATACACAGGTATACAGTGCATACCTACCAAGAAGGCAGAAAGTATTGTGAGTTTGAGATGTTTTCTTTATTAAAATGATGTATGAGATGTGTAGACATAGTCTTTTTGTTTAGAAAATAAAGCTGTTTACTTTTTGGAATTAATGAGTTAAATCCAGGTAGTCTTTTTTTTTTCCTCTGAGTTAATAAGTTAAATAATTTCTAGGATTAGAGTTCTTCGTAAAGTTATCAGGTTTCATTGACCTACTGAATTTACAGTTGAAGTATATCAAATTTCTTGTTATTGTAATAGTATTAAAAGTATATTCCAATATTTTACATATAAATATTCTGATTTTGACATTTTATAAATACCAAACCACCTTTCTATATAATCAAATACAATTGAATCATTAACAACATTATCTTATTGGCAACACCAGTAATAATATGTGAATCTGATGTGACAGTTTTTTAATAAAGGATTTAATGGGCCATTCCAAATCTCATTTTCATTCTTTTCACAAGTGCTCAATAAATATCAACTTTGTTCTTCTGTTCCTTTCAATCATCTGCTCTTAGATCCATGTCTGTGAACTAAAAGCGAATGTGCTGTTGGTTATTAACATGACTCAGATGTACATGTTAATAGCACATTACCAGGTAAGGGTTTTCTTTCTCATTTTCTGAAAAAAGTTTCTCTTTAAAAATTTACTTACATAGTGGTTGGCATTTTGTGTGAATTGGAAGACTTAATAGCTGTTTTTTTTTTAATGACTAGAAAGCCTAATCAAGTAGCTCTGTAGTCTGTCTTATAGTAGATCCTTTGTTCCATAATTTATACTTTATATTTCATCCTTATAAAGAATACTGAATTAATAAATAGAGCTGAGGTCACACTGAACCTGGAGCCATCTGAGAAATTCTGTTATTATATTTTTATATTTTATTGGATTCTGCTTTCTTTGCTAACAAATTCCTGGGAGATACACACCAGGTTATTTATTGACTGTGGTGAAACAAGGTTGTGTATTCTTACATAACTGCCTTCCTAGAGTTAACAGACTAAATGTGATGGCATTTTCTTTTTTAAATTGGCAGGTAATGTAAACATCCTTTGAAATGGAGCGATTTGAAAGATTTTTATCAGGACTCTAATTACTGGGAAATAGAAAAGTGAGCTTTATGGCTCATGAAATAGTTTTAGCACAGTTTACCATCATCAATATTGATGGTGGTTTTGACTGAAACAGTTTGAAAATGCCTTTGTAATTAATAACCCATTACAGAAACAAATGTAGAGCCATGAATAAAATATTTGAGGTTTAAAATAGTTCAAGGATAAAGTTGACATTGGACCTTGAAGGGAAAAATTATTTGAGAATCTTTACTTGAAAAGGAAATATGGCAGAATGTGAATTTGGGAGTTAGGCAGACTTCTGATGTGATATTTCTCCAGAAACATTGAATTGCTTATTTTATTATTATTTATTTATTTATTTTATTTTATTTTATTTTTGGTAGAAGTAGCAGCAGACCAGGGATTTGGAGACATTTGCTAGGTGATATGTGTTCACAGCAGGTGGAATCCGAGTTACACAAAGAGTAAGTCAAGGAAAAGGATTAGTGGAGATGAGAGGGTTCCTCTACACTAGAAGCTTCACTCAAGTTGGGCTTGAGAGATGAGAAAGGGAGATTGTGTGCGATGTGTAAATTCAAAATTTTTTTTAAAGTGCGAGTACCCAGGTTGTTTTTTAATGCATCTTATTTTATGAAGGCTAACTTGAGTTGTGAGCTGACTGCTGGGTACTAAAAAAAAAGCATCCTTGAATATACTGATGGTAGGAAAGAGCATTATATTAATGGAGAACTTTTCTCTGGGGAAGTTTTATAGACTTTGAATAAGAACTGTTCAGATGTTACCAACTTTCTTTTCCTACATGCAGTTAGTTACATGTTCTTCTGGTTCTTACCGTTCTTGTGTCTCTTTGCTTGTTAGCGTGAGGTGCTATGCTTTATATTTTTGGTGTCTTTTTTTTTCTTCCATTTCTTCCTCCCTCACTTTCCTACCAATTCCTTGATTATGCAACTGAAACTCGGCACTATTCCATTGTCTTCACTCAGAAGTGGCCTTATCCTTTTCTTGATAGAGGAAACAGAAGCCATGAACTTCATGCTACTGTATGGTTTAAGCCTTGAATCTACATTTGAGCATCTTTTCTTCCTAGTGGTCTAGTGTCCTGTTGCTTATTAGGGTCTTGTATTTCTCTACAACTTCTCTGTTGTAGTATTTGCTATACTATTCTCTCATCTATTCATCTTGTCACCCTGTAATTACATCCTTGAGCACATATTTTTAATGTTTGTCTTAAACACCAGTGGTGTTCTGGGAGAAGGCTTGATTACTTGTAACCCGCGTCCCTCTTTCTCTTCTAGTGATCGTTCCTAATCTCTAGGTAAGTGTCTGTGACACTAAACAGGACACGTAGTTTACACTCTGTTCTGTCTACCAGAATATGGAATGGGCTCTGAACTCATGAGTCTTTCATTCAAAGATCATAGAGGAAAAGTGGTGGTGTCCACATTTATGCTGCCAAGACGACTACCTTCAGGTGTTGTTTATGGGTCTCATGATGAGCTCACTTTCATTGAGCTTGAAAAGGGCAAGTCTTTAGTGGGGAAAGTGGAGATTTCCTTATGTTTGAATTGACAGATTTCTGATTAACAAGCTATCAGCCGCCAGAAATAGAGGTAATTGAGTTCTTGCCTGTGATCATTGCTGATTAGATCAATAGACAAAGGAAAGTATACAAGCTAAAGAAAATATCATCTCTAGTGAGAACACTCAGGAGTACTGCCTCATTGGTAGAGATGAAAGAATTTGAATTTTCAAAAGTTATCTGACACAATTTTTAGACTGTGCTTTCTATAAAGCAAAATAAAACCCTGAAAGTACTAGCAAAGAAAGGAGTGGCCAAATTGGTACAAGATTAATAATTTGCTAAGAGACAAACAGAATATTGAGTGTGACTAAGAAGAGCCAGTAAAAGCAAGAAATATTAGGCACAATTTGTAAATATTGGGAAATTCCAATAGTTGAAAAAACTGACTGCCAGGCAACACTGGGGGAAAATATAGTTCTAGGTAGATATTTCATTTGGGTAATTATTGTTAAATTTGTGCCAATGGCAAACTGTTAATGAACAAAAACACTAGTCACACTCCCACTGAAAGAGATAGACAATACACATCTGTTTTCAATGGTCACAAATGATAACAGGAAAAAAATGAAGCAGAGGAAATATTTGGAATAAAGTGGAGTTCACCATTTTACAGCACTAAGAATCAAAACCAGGGCTCTGCACACTCTATTGTTTTGTCATTGAGCTACATCCTTGGCTCAATTTATCATTTTATTTGGATGGACCGACACAAATAAAATGACTTGTGCAGTAGGTGAACATAGCCTTATGAATATATGGGAAGAAAGCACTCCAATAAAGAAGAGATCCAAAGCCATGGATGAGCTAGGATCATATTTTTGAGAACTGACAAGGAGGTCACTGGGCTGGTGAAGGAGCAGGAATTGAAGTACGAGAGCAGTTGCACTAGGAAACAAGATTCTGTGATGTCTTATGGACCCAGTGAGACCACTGACTCTGGCTTCTCTTTGTTTAATGCAGAAGCTGTTGGAGAGGTTTTGAGAGGAAAGCTCTTATATTTAAGTGATATAAGAGTCACTGATGGATTAAAAAATAGACTGTTTAGTTAAAAAGGGAAACACAGGAAGAGAAGCTCTTTTGTTTCTGCAGTAATTTAGACAGGTAATAAAGACATAGGCTCCTATGTTACTGGTGGAAAAGTGATAAGTGGGCAGATTTTGGAGCTAATTTGCAAGTACAGCAATTGGTTGTAGTGTGCAAGACAATAGAGTCAGCAACATTTCAACATTTTTGTTAACTTTTTGCTTGAACTGAAAAAATATTCCTGCTGACTAGAGTGGACAAGATTGTCTTAAGTATGAGATTTGGGAATGGTAGCACCTGAGAGGATCAGTTTCCTTTTGAAATTTTTCAAATGCCCATAAACCGTGCAAAAAGAGTCTTTGGGTTTTAGGCTAAAGAGGAATGCCCAAAGGAAAAAGAAAAGCATGTTTCTAGACTTAAAGCTGCAACCAAATCTCTTCAGGTAAGGTTACCTTGTCACAAAGTTACTCTTGGATGCATTAGGCGATGTTTGGTAGTAGCTTTATCTGAGGAACGCGCCCCTAAAACTTTTAAGATAAAATTATTTGCAATGAATATCCTATGGTAGAATAACTGAGAATTTGTAATATGAATGTGATATGTTTAGTCATGAAGTCCTACTCTGTGAAAAAAACCACCCTGTCAGTACTGAGCTGTTTTAGCAAAACCTATAGGTAGGAATGAAGAGAATAAACTTACAGAAGCATTTTGGAATATTTAAAAAAATAATTTGTATTGATGTTTTGGAGATTTTAAAGTAGGTCTAGAAGTTATTTCCAAGTTATTATATTGTGAAACTTGAAATTTTTGCTAGGTAATGAGCAAGGTTTTCAGTCACAAAAGCACAAACCCTAAGTATTTCAGTAAACTTTTTAAAAATATTTTTCTGGTAGGACTTTTTCTTGGAAAATATTCATGGACTTTTTTTTTATCTGTTTTCATAACTTTTAACCTTGTAATTTAGCAAAGAGCAAATTTAGGAGAAAGCTCGGTTGTGTCATTTCTTGAATTACTATGGCTGGCTGTCATTTCCACTGCTGAGCCTCTTGTGCTACTTTACTGTTCTGTGAGTTGTCTGTAAATTGTTGGTGAATGAGGGAGTCAGGGCACCACTGTCAGGCCTTGTTCGTAATTCACTTTGTATCCAGATCAAGTAACAACATCTGTATCAATATATCTGTTATCTGTTAATAAACCTTAATTTAAATACAAATACTTACCTTACTGTCCTTTTTCCCCTCAATACTTCAGTGAATCATCTTGCATGCTCCCTGATTACTCAGATTTGGAGACCTGTAACACTGTATTTTCTTGTCAATGTCACAAAATATCTTATATGTAAAATAATAATAAAAAGGAATTACTTGAGTTCACCGTTCAGAGGGATTGTTCCATGGTGCGTGTCTCATGTGCATGTGCTGAAGGGGCACTTGGTGGAACTCATTTTTCCTGTCTGAAGGACAAGAGACAATACAGAGGAGGATACTAGCACCGCACCGACTTTCTTTTTTTCTTTGTTATTGTGTATTCATGCTCCCAGCCTGTTGGCTGGTGCCAGCTGTGTTTCGGGAGGGTCTTCCTTATCAATAGTTCTCTCTGGAATTGCTCTTTAACCCCAAATTCATAATTCTTAGTACAGTTGGCAATCAAGAGTATTACAACCACTAAATAAAAATATAGTTGTGTTTGTCAAAAGCATTAATTTGTAGAGTAGTTGTGTGGTTGTTAAAATTCATATTCTTTAGTTCCTGTCCTAAACTTTTAACTGGCTGCATACTCTTTTCCACTATGGCTATGTGAACACCATATAGGCATTCTAGATGGATACAGTTGTTTGTTCTTATGTCACTGCTACAGCAACATCCCTGTATATGCATATATCTATCTGTGTATGAAATATATCCAGCTGTTTGTATGAGTATATAATGGATACATGCTTGAAAGTGGCATCACTGGCTCAGAAGTCATTTTTTTAAAAGTTTTACTTTAACAGCTGTGGTGGTTAAAGCCTGTAATCCCAGAACTCAGGAGGCTGAAATGGAGCAGTCACCTGGAATACATGGCTAACTGGGCTATGGTATACAATATAAAACACTGTCTTTAAAGCAATGAAATGAAAGAGAAACACTAGATGCATATGTAGGTAAAGATGCACACTTTTGGCTCTGTCTAGTTTTCTATGTCACCACACCCCCTTTGAGTGCTGAGACAACAAATGTTCTCCTCCATTCCTTTTTTTATTTGATGTGTTTCATCTATGTCCTCATTTTGAGTGTGTAGTTGTGTGTGGTTTTATCTTTTGATCATGAGTGGATTTATCTAAGTATCCTCACTGTCTGGATACAGAAATATGACATCAGCACAGCAGTTCTTTGTGCTACCTCTATTACTAAATAATACTCCTGTCTCAACACATGCAGTTAGCTAATCTATTTGAATTCTTCATAATTTTGTCATTTTGAAACTATTCTATGATACTCTATATCAGTTAGACACCGTGTCTGTTAGATGAGCCTTTTTAATCCATAAACTTCACCAGCTTCTGTACCAATAGTTTTTTTTTTTAACTTCTGAGTAGCATTTAATGCTATGAATGTGCTGTAGTATGTTCAAATATTCACCTGTGGATATTCAGGACAGGAGCTGTGTCTGGGTGCAATAGAACTCATATAGCAATCACCTTCATGTGAATGTGTGGACACAATTTTTACTCTGATAGTCAGGCCTTAAATGTGGTTTTTGAATGGTGTGATAGCTGTGTATTAGTAGTCTTTAAATATGTCTGACTATTTTGCAAAGTGACTGCACCTCTAAATTCTCACTATTTCTCCTTGAGGGTTGGAGTATTTCCAGTTTCTTACCAGCCTTTGATATTATCATGAATTTTTTTGATGTTTTAGTAGATGCAAATTGTAGTTGGACATATATTTAGGAACAATTTTTTATCTGTATTTTTTGTCAACATGTGTGCTCATGTCTTCTTTCCATTTTTACTTTTACTTTTTTCATCCACAGAGTTCTGAGAATTCTTTGTATAAACTACACTGGCTTTGCACGCCTATCCCTTTCCCCATCATGGTGCAAATCACATAGCTCAAATTTCAGTTAATATGGCATATTAGTTATGGTTGCATAAAGTACAAACCTTCTGGCTAGCTCTCTAGTCCATAGAGTTCAATGTAAGAAACAGCTGGGTGTCATGGTAAGTGACCAGTTGCTTCTTTCAAAACGTTTGGTAAACACTACCAACCTTCTATTAAGGTAGAAATCAAAGTGTATGTTTGTGTAGCCTCTGAGTTTTGGGTGATAAATCCCGATGACACTTTATGAAAACAAATCACTTAAAAATGGAATTGTCCAACAAAGATGAAAGTACAGCATATAAATAAAATTTATAAGATGAAATAAAATTATAATGAGGTACAAATGGGATTCCGTAGGAAATAGTGGATAAGATGTTAACAGTAGTGCACTTAGTAGAATAACTGTGAAGCTAGTGGAATTTGGTAGTGGTAAACCTCTTGACGTAACTGGGGAAAAGGTGAAATCCCACACAAAGGGGTAAAAATCTTCACTAAATGAACCCAGAGATATCTGATAACATTAAAATGAAACATAAAATGTTAGAAGCTGATCCAGCTTCAACAACAGTATGAGCACTCAGGGTGACCATTTAGGAAATGCGTGTTCTATGTATTGTAAGTTATGGCACGATAAGGCACTATTCTGAAAGTTTCTAATGTCTTAAGTATACCATGCTAAATTAGCTTTTAGTACTTGTAAAATATGTGTATGTGTATAAATTCACTATATATACATATGTAAAATAGGAAGTTTTGACAATGATTTAAAGTCACAAAATTTTCTGCTGTTTATTGGGTTCTGGGTAGTTTCAGCTCACGTGTGCTCCCTTACCACTGTGCAGGATTGCTTATGTTTTCTACACGTTCTTCCTTTGGCACGCTTGAAACTTGCACATATCTTTGCATTGCTGTATAACTTGTCTTTTTGTTTGTATTGTTGCTATTTTTAAATTGTTTCTAAGGCTTTCATACAGTGGTTTTACTTATGTCATGTTCATACATGGATGTCATTGTACTTTGCTCACATCTACTCTTCTATTCCTCTGCTTCTCTTCTTCCAAATAGCATACTTTCTTTTTTCATGATGGATGAATAGATAGGTAGGTAAGTATATTGATTGATTGTATATGTGATTTTGTTACCTTAAGACAGTGTTTCTAAACCTTCCTAATGCTGTGACTCTTTACTACAGTTCCTCATGCTATGGTGACCCCAACCATAAAATTATTTTTGTTCCTGCTTCATAACTGTAACTTTTCTACTGTTATGAACTTAACGTAAAAATCTGCGTGTTCTGATGCTCTTGGGTGACCCCTGTGAAAGGGTCAGTCAACCCCAAAGAGTCCGTGATGCACATGTTGAAACCACGGCCTTTAAACATGTTCCTTATGTGTCTGTGGACACACCCACCCCTAGATTCTGTTTTTTGACAGCAAACATGTTACATTTTTAAGATTGTTGATTTGACATAACATGATAATATGTATAGCTTGTTTTTCCTTCATATTAAAAGCAAAAGTTTGAATTTTATTGAAGCCTATTTTTTTTTTAATTTTGTATTTCTTCTGTAGATTGTCCTTTCTAAGGATTTTTCTTGTCTAGTTTGGGATCTTTAAGATTTTATCTTAAAATACTCTGGTGTTATCCATTTAAATCTACAATTCATTTTTCTTTTTTTTTTTAAATACATAACTTTCATGAGGCTCTTTTTCTTTTCTTTTTTTTCCCTTTTGGCCTTTAAATGTCCACTTGCTTTAAAAGCATTTATTAAAAGGTTAAGCCTTTCTGTATGCATTGTCTCTTCTTGTACTTTTATCACGTGTCAGCTATGGATCTATTTGTGGGTCTACTGTTCCATTTCTGTTTCATTGATTTGTGTCTTTTCCCTCCACCTGCAATTGTCTTGATTAGTTCCATGGGAATGCATAACATTGGGTTGAATGTTTCCTCCTATTGTATTTTTCAAAATTAGGTTGTTTAGTTAATTTCTTTGCCATTCCACATAAAATTGGGTGGCGTGTGGTATTTTATATTACTCCTATAATCCCACTATGCAGGAGGCTAATAATGGATTGCTTTCAAAGAAAACTCCCAAGTCTACAAGCTGTGACCACTAATTTAGGTTCTTTATATCCCATTTCTTTGGGTCCCTTGTGTAGTGATTCTACTGCAAATGTGCAGGATCTTTTTAAGGTCAGACATCTTGTGCTCTTCTCACCTCTCTACGCTAAAATGTCTTCTGCTTCGCAGCATGTACTTAGTGTTTTTACTTATTAATTCTATTAGCCTTCAGATACAGGAAAAGAGATAAGCAAAACATACTGAAACTTCCGAGTGGTCACACAGCTAAAAGCTGCTAGGTTCCTATACATTTTGCACAGTATCATATCTAAGGGCTAATACATTACTGATAATGATTATAATTCATTAATAGATGCCATTGGACTAGTGTGTTTGTCAGTCTATTATGAAAAGCATAAGAGCTTAACATGACAAGTAACTTGTTCCACATCACCTTGCGTTATGGTGTCAGGAAAGGTGCCACCAAGTTATCTATTTCTCTCAAAAAGAAGTTGTGATTCTGCCCAACTATTTATGTATGAGTTCTTGATTAAGTCACATCTTGGAAATGAAATTGATTTGAATTAGCTTAAGCTATGAAATGGAGATACTTACAGCTAACATTTCCCGTTATACAAGTTTCAACATGTAAACTATGAGTATACTAAAACTTCTTATAGAATTCTTGGATAGTAAATATGGAAAAAGTATTTCCATATTAATGAACAAAGTAGCCTGCTGAAGTTGTTGAAGACACTCCATTCTTTTAGTTTGTGAGCTATACCTCTCACAGCTAGGAAAAGCTGTTAGCATTTGAGAGTGCTTATAAACCATGTCGTCAGTATAAGGATATAAGCTTTCCTGTCAAAGATGGATTTGCTCCCAACACACACATGTTAGCTGAAACCAAAGTAAAAAGATTGTTAATGACAATGCAATCCCAATCCTGCACAATGTTTCACTTAATTTCTTATAAATGGCTGGAGTGCTGTCTCTAATCTGGCTTCTACAGGGCGTACTAATAAACTATGGAGAGCGACTATTATACTAGGTGGGAAGCCCACACATTAGTCAACATTTGCCATTGCTATGGCTTTCTTCTGAGAATCTAGAATTAGTGTAGTTAAGAGAAAGCAGAAAAGGGTCTGGAGAAAGGGTATGTGTAAAAATTGCAATTTTTTTTTTGCTGATGAATGCTCTAGATACCCTTTACTATTTTTTCAGAACAAAACATGCTACAACGGTGATAACTAGAATTACTGTACCTGAGCCTATAATTTATACTAAATAAAAGGAGGGAAAGAGAGATTGCCTTTGATTAAAGCAAACTGTCA